CAAAAATAATTGAATCCCTGTAAAAATTTTATTGTTTATGAAAATAATTGAATTAATGTGAAGAAATTTCTAGAAAATTTGTAAATAATTGAATTCCTGTGAAATTTTTATTTTTTTATGAAAATAATTTAATATTTGACAAGAATTTTATTAAATTTTTTGAAAATAATTGAATTTTAGAGAAAAATTTTATTATTTCTTAGCAATAATTGAAATCTTAAGGAAAATATTATTCGAATTTTTGAAAATAATGGAATTTTAGAGAAGAATTTTATTATTTCTTAGGAATAATTGAAATTTTAATAAAGATATATTATTAAAATTTTTGAAAATAATTGAATTTCAAAGAAGAATTTTATTACTTCTGAGGATAAATGAAATTTTAAGGAAAATATTAAAATATTATTTAAATTAAATATTAAAATGTTATTTTTAAAAATAATTGAATTTTGAAGAAGAATTTTATTATTTCTTAGGAATAATTGAAATTTTAAGGAAAATATTATTAAATTTTTTGAAAATAATTCAATTTTAGAGAAGAATTTTATTATTTCTTAGGAATTATTGAAATTTTAAGGAAAATATTATTAAAATTTTTGAAAATAATTGAATTTCAGAGAATAATTTATTATTTCTTATGAATAATTGAAAATTTTATTAAAATTTTTGAAAATAATTGAATTTCAAAGATGAATTTTATTATTTCTGAGGATAATTGAAATTTTAAGGAAAATATTATTAAAATTTTTGAAAATAATTGAATTTTAGATTAATTTGTTATAAATAATTAATTTGCCAGCCATTTTTGTATTTCAGACTTTACATTTTTCTTTTAATAGAAATTCTATTTAAAATTATAGTTGACAGTTATTCTTATATGAACTATAAACTATATCTCTTTCTCAATATTTCTTGGCATACTTATAAAAAAAAAATCCTTGCAAAATGTTTTAATTTTGTTATCAAAATATTGGAGAACACTTGGAGAGGTGAGGAATGAGAGATGAAAGGAGCGATGCGCGAACAAGTTAGTCAGAGGAACATCTCGAAGTTGAAGGCAAAGATCGATAGCGTGATACGAGTGTGAGGAACATTCAACGAAAAAGATTAGCGCGTGCATCCGATTAGGTGTTTTCATCGCAATGAATAACGGCAACGATAATATCGCCTTCTTGGCTTCTTACGCGCGGCGGAAGGGTCCGTAAACTTTCGTGCCTTTCGCGATGGAATCGTAACGCGCGAAAAGCGTGACGGTTCTCGAGGGAAAGCGCCTCAAGCGTCCAGGTGCCTTCAAGACGACTTTTATATTGTATATCGTCAGACAAGGACGCATGGTCATATGTTTATGTATATTATACTTTTCCCCTCATGAGTTCATCAACCATATATATAGGAAACATTACTTTTATACAATTAAAGAGAAATATAACTGAAAAATAATATTTATAGATCCTATACAATTATTATTATTTTTCGAGACATTTTTAAAATAATTGTAATTATAACATTTATACTCAGATTAATATTATAGTTTTTTTGAGGAAAAGTTTCGAACTAGTGTCTAAATAGAACTTTCAGAGCAGATGGCGCCACGTTCCGTACGTATATATGAATTGAAATAGCAAAGTAAGGAAGTATGCGCGTATATATACGCGCATACTTTCTTACTTTGTTATTTTAATTTTCAATTTGTTTAGCAAAATTTGATTTAATTTTTAAATTTGTAATTTTTTTCATCAATTCCACCCCTCTTCCCCCCTCTCTAATTGAACAAGTTAATAACTCAATTAATCTTCGGTATTAAAGGACTTGCAAAAAAATCCGCAATATTTTTTTGTTCCTCTTGGTAGACTCGTATATTTATAAATCCTCACTGGACTTTTAAATATACGATGGCTCTTTGTAAAAACAAATAATCCATCCATTTGCGCACGAGTCTATTCACAGCTCTTTGCGTGTATTTCAATGTTATAAGCACGTGTAATCGGTTCATGCTACTAAAAATAAAAAAAAAATTCAGCAAAATATTACTTTATACTTTTGATAGAAATTGACAAATTAAAAGTTTTGCCTTAAAAGTCCAATTTTTAGAAATATATATGCGTATCGTCCGCATGAAAAGAACCTAAAACTTATGGTCGACTTTATTTTAATTTAAATTTTCGCAAAAGTGGTTCAGATTTTGCATTTTTCTTTCACAAGAAAAAAAAAGTATAAATTTTAACCTGATTTTGGGGTAAATTATTCCGAATTTTTCACGTAATGAAACGAGTATTTTAAACATTTTAATAACATTTTATGAAATGTTAGAAGTCATTTAAAAAAATTGTAAGAGGATCCAAGACGGGGAAATCAGAAAATTGTTACAAGTTAAAAATTCTGTCTGACTGAAATTTACCTTAACTACTGATTATGGGTGTACAATTATAATAAATTGTATAAATGTTAAAAATTATGTCTGACTAAAATTTACCTTAACTACTGATTATGGTTGTACAATTATAATTGTTAAAAATTTTGTCTGACTAAAATTTACCTTAACTACTGATTTTGGTTGTACAATTATAATATAAATAATAAATTCCGTCCTACAAAATTTAACTTTTCATTTCACACACACAAAAATAAAAGGACCAAAAAAAAAATACCCGTGTCTGGTCGTTTTGCTGGATCAAGTCGTTTGTGGCTTTTAGGGGTGAAAACAACCCTTAAATGAAAAGTAAAAATAAGCTATATTTTAAAAATAGATTCAATTTGCCTAAAACTCGTTACTCAGGGGTTTTTGGGGTTGCTGATTACAAATCCGATGTCAGTTTTTCAAAATTCAAAATGGCGGTTCCAATATGGCGGCTGTAAAAATAAAAAATTGATCGGATTCGCTTGAAACTTGTTACTTGGGGGTTTTTGAGGTCGCTGATTACGAATCTTAAGTAAGATTTTCAAAATTCAAAGTGTTGGATTAAAATGTAGATTCAAGCAAATTAAATCATTTTTTTAAAAAGTTGTCCGCCATATTGGATCCGCCATTTTGAATTTTGAAAAACTGACATCATATTTGTTATCAGCGACCTCGAAAACCCCCGAGTAACAAGTTTCAAGCGAATTCGATCAATTTTTTATTTTGACAGCCGCCATATTGGAACCACCATTTTGAATTTTGAAAAACTGACATCGGATTTGTGATCAGCGACCCCAAAAACCCCCGAGTAACGAGTTTTAGGCAAATTGAATCTATTTTTAAAATATAACTTGTCACTTTTCATTTAAGGGTTCTTTTCACCCCTAGAAGCCACAAACGACTTGATCTAGCAAAACGGCCAGACACGGGTATTTTTTTCTTTTGGTCCTAGTTTCCGAAAATGTTTGATTTTTTGTGTGTGAAAAATCGTGTCGGACGGTGTTGTATAATTGTTAAAAATTCTGTCTGACTAAAATTTACCTTTACTACTGATTATGGTTGTACAATTATAATTGTTAAAAATTCTGTCTGACCAAAATTTACCTTAACTACTGATTTTGGTTGTACAATTATAATAAATTGTATAAATTGTATAATCATATATGATATGTCTGACAAAAGTCATTTACTACTTGCTAGACAGACGCATGACTTTTACTACTGACGCTAGTGGTAAGGACTTTAAATTTGATTTAATTTTGGATAAAATATTTACTAAACTTTGTTAATTAATTGATAAATTGTACATATAAAAGTAACAACTCTAATCTGCACTGAAAAAAAGTTCTGGTTGGAATTACCAGGAAATCTGTTTTTAACTATAGAGTTTCGTTTTAACTATGCGCCCTTATACTAGATTTTTTTCAGTTACTTTCACCAGAATTCTAGTTAATTTAATCAGAATTCTGGTTGTTTTAACTAAAATGTATAGTGTTAAATTTACCCTAACTAGAAGTTTTTTTTCAGTGTGGTTAAGAATACATTAAAAATTAAATAAAAATTAAATTAATTTCAAAATTTAATATAATTCATTTCAAACCTTAAAAGAGTTCATTTCAAACAGAGTAAAACGATGTGTTTACGTTACTTAACCGTACGACAGTATCAGTTTTTGACAAAATAATACAAAAAAATTAGTATGGTCGGTACCAATCTTTAGTATGAATCATATTATATTAATATAGTTGATACGTTCATACGATTGAGTAACATAAAAACACGTACCGTTTTCCCCTGTTTGAAATGATCATATTAAATTTTAAAACACAAAGTCTTTCAGTGTAAAAAAAATTAAATAATTGAAGTACAAGTTATAATACTTTCAATCAAAAGTTATAACTTTATATAACATAAGTATACGATAGTATATCTTTAGACAATTTGAACTTGGGGCACCTGTTTTCAAACACAAAGTGGGTCTTTGATCCCGGTCAATTTTAAAAACATGGAAATATTCTTTAAATATTGTTGAATTAGTTTTTTTGCTTAAAATATATAAAAAATATTGTGAAATGAATTAAAAATCTTTGCAAAGAAATGAATTTGACGTGTGTCTGAAGAAATGTTATAATAATACAAAGTGTCGGGGCATCGAAAGGTGCTCCTTTGGTCCATTGGCGTTGGGGGCAGCAGCAGGTTGATGGATGCCGTCTTCTCATGAGAAAATCCATGTGGTAGGGATACGATGACAAAAGTGTTGGTAGTGGGGGTCCAGGGGGTGGCCATCTCGAGGGCGTGGGGGTAAGTGAGTATCTGTATGGCACGACTCTTTACGACGATCCTAGGTGGCACCGAGTAGCAGAGAGAAAGAGAGAAAACAGGTGAAAAAGAGAGTGATACGAATGGGAGAGAGAGAGAGAGAGAGAGAGAGTGAGTGTGTGTGTATGACTTGCAATGGAATAGAAAAGGAGAGAGAAAGAGAGAATGAGCCGCGTGAGACAGTGTCGAGAGCGTGGACGTGGGAGAAGACTCAGAGAGGGGGTGGGGGGTCAAATCCACACGCAAACCTAACCTCTCTCTTTTCCTCTCTTGTGTGTTGCAGCGCTCGCGCGACTGTCAAGCCTCCGCGGAGGCGGCGTTGGTGGGGATGTCGCCTCCAGCCCACGAGGTCCTGGTGGGGAGGATAAAAGCGCCGGCGGGAGGGTAAGGCAAGCAGCCGGTGGCGCTGGTGGTGGGGAGCCGACTGATGTCACGGAGAAGAAGGAGAGGCCACCGGCTTCAGAGACTGTCGAGCCGACGGCCGCGTTTGACGTTGCATCTCTCGTTCTCTACGGCTCGCGCGCTTTACCCACACGGCTTAAGAACTACCTCGATAAGTTGTTCAACCAATTGCCTCACGCACAAGTAACGCGACTACTAGCCACCTTTGGCTGGACTCACGAGGATTATTCTCGAGGATACATACTGCAGGTGAGATTTTGCTTTCCCATTTCCACAATTTTCCCTTCTTCTAATTTTGTCATTTTTAACAAATTTCCATGACAGTCATCTCTCTTTGTACTTCTTTCTTCACCTATCACACCTTTCTTCACTCCCATCCTATCCTTTCTTCACTATTTTAACATTTTCTATTTCTTCACCGACAAATACTAATCTCTTCTTTTAGGTGCACTAACTAATTTCCTTTAAACTTTCACTAACTAAAACTTAAAGGACTTAAAGGACCAAAAATGGACAAGTGTTGTGTAGTGAGTGACATTTCCCATGCTGAAGATAACACAAGTGTTACAGAAACAGTGCAAGTGAATACTTTGTGCAAGTGTTGGGATTTAATCCACAAACTCTAAAATTGAGAATCCGCGTGTCATCATAAGAAATGCGACGGATTGACAACACCTGAAACTAATGGATTTATCACCCGTCGGTTGTTTTTAAGTTTCTTCATCAAGTCCAAATGTTGGAAGTTTGATAGGATTTTTCCCCTATACCTTTCGGAGTTTTGAAACATTTTCAAAGTATTACTGAAAAAAATTATGTGCAATTGTTGGATTTACATATATCAAGATTAAAAACTGGTTGTTCGAGGAAAAGAAGAAGACACATTAATGACGGGGACAAAAGTCCAGGAAAAAAACAACTCTTCAAGGATTATGTCATGAGATTATCAGAAAAAATTGCAGAAATAGGGACTATAGTTTGAAAGAAAAATTGCCGTTTCGTAAACAAAATCATCAAAAAAGTGTTTTCCAACAGTTTCGCAAAAATTCTACAGTCGAATTAATTTTGTTAGTGTCATTTTCAATAATCGGGGCATTCGGTTTCTATAGAAAGGCAAAAAATTAGATGTCTGCACTGAACCCAAAAAAACTGTTCCATAACTGTTACAGATTTGGAACAGATTTGTAACACTAATGGAACAGTTTTTTTGGGTTCAGTAATAATTACACAAATATGTAAGGTTTGCGACATATTTGATCTATTCGATATTGTGGTAAAATTCGCAAAACTTGCCTATTTGTGGAATTAACTTCACAATTGAAATTAAGTAACCATGATAGAAACATTAGAAACTCAAAAGGACAATTGACTTCTCCGGTATTTTCACATTTGCAAACATTGTAAAGATTGATGGAATTAAAGAAGATGAGTGACGGATGATTTCAACAAATATACGAAAATAAAGAATCAACCCTTCTAAATAATACCGCGTCAGCAGTGTCTCATCTTTAAGTGATGAAAAATTAGTGACAGCAAACAATAGGGAGCATAAGATTATCAAGCAAACCATTAAAGCTTAACAAAAATATAAACAAGTATTGTTATTCCGAACCGCATGGAAACTATAATAAATCTCTTTTGAGATAAACGAGATCTTCTCTAGAGAGGATCTCAAGAATGTCTTTTAAAATAAGTTTTCTTTATTAGAATCTATGGTGACAACACCTGCATGGGACATAAAATACTCGATTTAGTATCAAAAAGAAAGTATATTCTTGTGGCAAAGGCCAAATGATTGCTGCACACTGGATCATCATAAAAAGACCTCTGGCATGTCAAAGATTGGATGTCGCATACGCGAGATGATCAAAGAATGCCGAGGATTCTCATGCCCTTCGAAGCTTGCACTTCGATCTTAAGAGGACTATATACAAGAGGGAACGTGAGGAATATTAGAAAACGGGGAGTATCCATGTAAACTGAATTGCGTTGAAGTTAGCGTGAAATTAAGCGTATGAAAAACCGGTTTCTTGGTACATATAATACACTGGTTTGTCTCAGTGTACCTGCCGGTTGGAATTTATCATCAAGATTATAACATTTCGCCAGTTTTCAAGTATATATGATGAGAAATATATGTCGAAAATTTGTACGACGATAAGAATTATCCATAAGGTAAAAAAAGAAGTTTCTTAATCTCCTTCATCTTGTACTACAATGCTAAATGAAAAGCGTAGGAGGATCCTGCAATTTTATCTTATCTCTCTGGTCCAGGATATACGTGAGAGGAATTCCCAAATCAATGTTCCGCGCATTTGTTTTTGAACTTGATGAAGAAAAAAAAACAAATTTCACAGTTTACACTTCGTGGAAGTTAAAATGTTTACCGGAAGCGGAACTTAAAGATTTGAAAAGAAGTAAGTGGTGCGCGGTATGTCGATGCGAAGGAATCACGAGGTGCAAAACCAGTTTCGCACGAGAGTAACATCAGTAACAGCTTCTTGGTGAAGGAATTCAGAGATTTTACACGCGGCAAAGTGGCCATTTATATATCTACGGTTGGAGTTGGTCCATCCAAGAAGCGGATGGAAGAGTCGCGTTTTCCACTCCCGGGGAGATTTACGAGCGAATGTATCGACTCTGTTACGCTCGTTGTATACGCGTCACGAATCGACGCGGTGCTTCCAGCATTGCGCGATAAAACCCCAAGGAATTTTGAATAGGATTCCCTCCACTGCTTCTATATAGAGAGAACCTAATAACGGATCCAAGATGAAGATAAAAACGATCCAGTTCCGGGAGGATTCTTGAAAATTGTCCAATTGCATGAGAACTTTCTTATTCCTTTATTTTGTGTGACAAATTCTATAAGCATGATAAATTAGAACTATAAGCTATCACTATATTTCTGCAATCATCTCATTATTCATTTTTCTTCTTTGAACTTTTTTCCAATGGTATTCAAGTTTCGATTTCATTCTCTTACTTTTTTAATAAGTTAATTAAATCCGCAAAGAATTTTTCACAATAAATTTTGTGTCTGATTTAAAAATAGATTTACGAGAAACGGAATAAAATTGATAAATGGTTGTTTACTTTGGACTAATTAGGAAAAAAGTGTTTTTAATCGAAACGCATAAAACGAATATATGCCTATAGGGGAGAGCGAGAGGTCGAGAATAAAAAACGCGTTTTATATGTAAATGATCGGTGCGCGGTCTTTTAGGTGGCAAGGGAAGAGAGGAGCGCGATACGTGAACCTTATATCGTTCAAGTCTTATGGGTGTTACGTGTATATCAAGGGATCGCCCGCGGCTGATAAAATTATACTATCACATGGTAATATCAATATTAAGTGTACAAGTTGATTCTTTGCGGAGATATACCTACATATTCTCGATTCGTGTGCGAAAAGGAACCAATTCTCATCTTTAGGAAAGAAACGCGACTCAGTGAAGAAAACTGACTTCAAAAAAAAATATACTCAACGGATAATAAAATTTAACGATTTAAACGCGCACATTGCTATTACGGGGATAATAAATCTTTACAGCCGTGCGGTTACCGGAAAGAAACGGAAAATTATTCTTGTAAAAATGACATTGGAGAATTAAATGCCTTTCCCAATGTGCGACGCTGGTTGTTGGGGGGAAAAAAGTGAAATACCCTCGTTTAGTCGCGTATGTATATGTTATTACCTAAAACGCGGAAAAGATCATCTGAAATTACGAAAGGTTTTTCTTTTCAGATTTTCGCTCCGCTTGGTACAATATGCGCTATCTCTTCCGTTTCCGCTTCCGAGGCCCTAGTTTTAAATAATATATTCTGCGTTTCGGACAAAAATTCGTTTCTCAAAACTGTTTTGTTTTAATGGAATTCTTTTTGCTTTTAAAATTTAAAATTGTTGTCAGTTGATTATTCGTAATGAGCGACGAATCATGACGTGTCTAGAGGAATAAATATAATACGAATATATGAAGAAGGAAGACCATGACGGGAAAGAAGAGAAGAGAGAGAGGGACGCGGTGGTTGCAATCCAATTTAAAGGCGGATATCCAAGTAAGATCTTCACGATTTCTACACACGAATAAGACAGAATCAGCGACCGTAAAATCATATGCAATGTCCAGTCACGGGTGGCACCTTCGATTGCCTCTCTTTCTTGCAAAGGAAAACGCTCCCTGCTCTCAACTCTCTGCTCGCTAGAGTCACCGTCACATACGCGAACCGCCAGTTGGCGCCACCAACTGGAACTTTCGTGACAACAAATATTAGAATGCAACTCGAAAAAATTCTTCTTCTTTTCTTTCAAAATATTTCTCTAAACCACTTCTATTTTGCGTATTTCCCTTGTTGCTATTTTTCCGCAGATAAACGTTAATTATTGTCATACAAAAAAGCTACCATGTATAATTAAAAACATGTTCGCAGTATGGAATGTGTAAAAATTTAGTCTCACATTTTTTCTTTAGTGAAATTTACACAATTTTTCTTTTGGCGAATCCTTATAACAAATGCGCTCTTAACAGAAAACTTTGCGCGCAAAGATGTTCATGAGTCAATTGATTCACCCGACGGCAAACTTCATCTTAACGATAAACATTTAAGTGGATGATTTTATCTCTAATTGGATGATCGCAACATATAATTCTGACAGATTTGATCAAAGGAAGCTTCACTCCTAATGACGATAACAATTTTATAAGTCTTAGGTAATCTGAATATTATCTTATATAGACTCTGGCTTATATAAAATTAAAATCGAAACTGGATTAAGATAATATTCGAATTTTTTTAATACATATTCCATTTTCACGATGAAGATTGAATTTCACTTTGCGAATTACAATAATAATATAATTACTATTATTGCACTGATGCAATTAAGTTTATAGAAAATGAATAAATTTTCAACTACGCATTTAAATGAAAATATATTGGTAAAGTTTTAATTTAATCTGTTATCTCGAATTGATGTTTATTTTAATTGTTGACGCAATTTTGAAGCCGACTATTGAATTTGCAATATTCCTGCATGAGTCAGCGTAATTTTCGATATTGCTGAGAATAAATGTATACGCGCAGAGAGGCACAGCGTGCGACCCGAATTCCATCTCGAGCCTCTTGTCGCGCGTGACGAATGCTGCCGTTTTCTGAAAGGAACCTCATTCGCGTGCGAGATTGAAATTCAAGTCCCACGGTACAGTAGTCCTCTTGCATTCTCAGACTGGGGTCGTTTAAGTTCCTCCACTACCTTTACGTAACGATGGCGTTTAGCCGTTTCGCGGAACTCTTCAGCCTGCGAATCACTCAGGGTGCGCGTCACGCACCTCCGCCCGATCAATCCAAATCTCAAAAGAATAACTAAAACACTATGGGAAAGTCAATCCTTTCAAATTTCTATTCAGTAACAAAAGAAAAAATGTAGATTCATAATTTTGTTTCTTCTTTTGTTCAAATATAGATTCGTCCAATTATATTTATCAATTCGGAAATTAGTTGCGCGAGTCTAGAAATAGTTTATGCAAACGGAAATCATAATGGGATTATAAGAGTTTCCGTTTCAAAACACGCGCGCACGGGCTAAAATCGTGTGCGGTCTTCTTATACGAATCCGTTAAAGCAATATACAATAGCGAGACGAAAAAGCGTCGCGGCGCGAGGCGTCCTGCGTTGCGTCGAGTCGGCCCGGAATGCGTAAATAAACAAAGCATCGAGGAGATCTGCGAGAAAGTGAAGAGAAGAGGGTATTCGAAATTTATAAAGGACCTCGCGTCACGTCTTCAGCGAAAATTTCCCAAAGCAATAATTTCAATTTATATCTGTACGCATCAGACACACCAAAATAAAGTATGAATCTTGGGGATCTAAATACAACTCTTAGAAAACGAGTTAGTCTTTTAAATTTCCAAGAAGCATAACAGATCTTTTCCTTACATACTTGACTTTGTAGTTTCCCGTCTCTCTCGTTTGCGTATATAACTCCTCAAATTACCCATTTCCCGTTTCATTGTCTTCTAATCCGAAGGAGACGCTATCATTAAAAATTATGTCCGGCAAGTTTCATTGAATAATTATTTCGTCATGAATAATTCCATTAACGCGTGAGATTCTTCAGTTTCAGAAACAAAAAGAAACATTTATTTCAACTTCCACGTTCTACTATTATAAGTAGAGAATTACGCATGTAATTCGCAAACTTGTCAAATTTCGAAATTAACAATTAACAGTGCTTTTAAATTTTTTGTTTCAGGACTCGCAGAACGGCCCGGTGCTGGACCGATGGAGTATTTGCTCGGCTGAAGAGGAACCGCTGGTCCTTCAGCAGTTCCTCAAGTTCGCCGAGACGCGTCCGTTCGTGCAACATCTGCTACAGGCCGCGGGAACGCCAGGTTCGGATGCTATGTCACCTAGCAGACGACCTTCGCCCCCGACGATGCCGCTAGCACACCTACCACCACCTCTACACCTTCTTCACTGTGGCCTGCCACCCAGCTCGAGGTTGCCACACCCTTTGCCACCGCCACTGCCGCCAGTGTCTCACCACTCGATGTCGCCGACAACCCAGAAGCACTACTCGACCCCGGCGGGCAATCACGGACCGACGAGCATCGCCAGTTCGCCACCTCGAAACCTAGAATCAAATTCACATCTCTCCTCGCCCCTCAATCGACTGCAAAGCATGCAGCCCTTCGATTTCCGGAAACTGGGCACTCTGGGTCTGCCTGCATTTCCGCCCCTACCTCCACCACCATCCGAGTCGATGATGCACCACCAATCTCGAAAGTCGAGACATCAACACAGTCCACAGAGTCCAAGTCAAATCTCCTCCGCATCACAATTGAGGCATCCTGTACCAGTTGCTCCAGTTTCCACCGCTGCTCTCACCTACGGCCACTCACTGGCAGTCGCGGTTTCCTCAGGAGCATTGCCGCCCAACTTTCCTGGTCCGTACCCACTGATGAGCAAACCTTCAGCAAACAGCACTAGCAGCGGCATCAGCGGCTCAGGCATGGACACACATAGTGGTGGCGAGAAAAGTAGTGAATTCGGTTCCGACGATGAAGAAGACGACGAGGAGAACTCGGGAAGCGCTTTGAATCTCAGCAGACGGGATTCTGGATCTAAACATGCGGATCATCGGTTCTCGTCATTATCTCTTCAAGCATCTTCGCTGGGAAGACCCTCCGGTATCCATGGCAGGAAACCGCACTCTCCTGGGAAACGTCATCAATGGGGAGCTGCTCACAACATGCCTCCTAATCTGGGAACACCTTTTATCAATCCAGCAACTGGAAAGAAGAGGGTTCAGTGTAATGTGTGTCTCAAGACTTTCTGTGACAAGGGAGCGCTGAAGATCCACTTCAGTGCGGTCCATCTACGTGAAATGCATCAATGTACTGTTAAGGGTTGCAGCATGATGTTCAGTTCCAGAAGATCGAGAAATCGACACAGTGCTAATCCGAATCCAAAGTTACACTCGCCTCATTTGAGAAGAAAGATCTCGCCACATGACGGAAGATCGTCCATGGCACACGCATTGGTTCTACCACCTCAAGTGGGCCTTCCCGTTCCTCCAAGTGGGCTAAATCATCTGTCTTTCGGATCGTTTCCTCTACTCACACCACCACCAGACCTCCGCTCACCAGCCTCAATTTGTGGTCTCGATTTCAAACATCTTGATCCATCGCAGAACGTAAGGTCCTACGAAGAAGCGTTACAGCAACGAGTGTCGATGAACGCCACATCGGGTACAACAAGTTTGGCGTTCTCGACAACGACGACAACGTCTTCAGTGTCAAAGGGGTCGACGAGTACGATAAGTTTATCAGGCGTCTCGCCCTCTTCACAAACAGCCGGAATGATGGAAGATGACGACGACGAGGATAATGACGACGGCGGTATCGTTGTTGTAGCCGAGGATGAGTGCAATTTACCCACAAGACTGTCCCTTCCCGACGATGACGATCAGCCTGCTGACTTTAGTCTAGCCGGAAGAACGAAGCTGTCCTTGGGAGAAAATCCCGATGAAGAAGTAGTCAGCAATCCAGAGAGTAATGAAGACAATGACTCTATTAGCAGGTTTGATCAACATATGTTCTCGATCAATCCCCACACAATAAACTCAAACTTCCATAGTCGAGGGGTGCGGAAAAGAAAGTCACAACATCCAACCAGGTGTACCATTCCCGCGGAAGTTCATTCCTCTTCCACTGACGGCGACTCTTCTAACGATGCCGTCTTCCAAGATCAACCCGAGGACATGTCAATGTCCCGACTCGAAGCAGAGGAAAGAAAAACATCACCTTCACCCAGAAATCCATCTGGCTCATTCGACAACGAATCAAATTCTCGATCTCCCGAGCTACGGGACAGAGATATACTGACTGCTAGACACCGTCGTGAAACTCTGTCCTCGGAAGACAATCATGGCGACGAGCAACCTCAGGACGAACCCAGAGATCTCAGTTCCAGGGCAAGCAGTGTCAGGTCACCGAAACGGCAAGCCACACCAGAACCAAAGCACTCCAATACTCCCGATCCTGAGGCAGCTAGCTCCCCCAGACCATCGCGGGAGGAGCCATCGCGAGAGGACGCAAAAGAACCCGAGGAAAAGTGCCCGAGAATTATCGCCCTTGACCGCAGCAAGGAGAGGCAGTCCGAAGTCATCATCAGGGACCAGGAAGGGGACGAGGACCTCGACGCCGAAGAGCCGATGGAGATCGAGGAGGATGAGGAGGTCGCAACAACGCTACGCAATCAAGAAGGTGAGCGTCCCGATGATCCCCCCCGTGCCCCGAGCTCGATCGACAGCCATCCAACCACTGCCGACGACCTCTCCCTCGACTCCTCGAATGCTTTGCGTCAACTCGAGTCCTTGTCGCAGGGTCGCATGCCGTACATGGGAATGCCGGAGCCTTCGAGGTCTGGCCGAGCTTCTACCAGCCCCGTCAGCCTTACGATGCACCAGGATACAACCCTCGACAACTCCTCTCATGGCTCTCATTCATCAAGCGGCTCGCCCTCCCCAGTGGCCATGGATACGGACAATAGCCTAATCACCTACGCTCGCTATGAGAACGGCGGCTTCGTCAGCACTCAGGAGGTGCCACTCGACCGGGACAATCCACGCCGGTGCACCGCCTGCGGCAAAGTGTTCCAGAATCACTTCGGGGTAAAGACGCACTATCAAAATGTCCATCTCAAGCTGATGCACCGTTGCAGCGTTGACGGTTGCAATGCCGCCTTCCCGTCCAAAAGATCCCGGGACCGTCACTCAGCCAATCTGAATCTCCACCGAAAACTTCTGTCCACATCATCAAGTCCTCCAATCACCACCTTACCATCAAGTCTCTCACCGAGAATCGAGGACCCGCAGTTAAATCCCCTACTGCACAACGAATTCCTAGCGAGACTCTACGCCGACGCTGGCATTGGTGCTCTGGGCACATTCCCCCTCACTGGACTATCATCCACAATGGACCTAGCCGCCAGAATTCCACCGCCCCATCCCCTTCTTCTTCCTCCCCATCTTGGCTTTCCAGGTCTCTCAACCTTCGCCAGTCACCTCGCCGGTCTGAATGGTCTCACTCATCAACATCTAAATCAACTCAACCTCTCAGGTATCAGACCCGGTTCTCCAATCTCCTCACCCACTCCCGACGATCAGAAGCAGGAGGCCAAGTGCACCATCCCGGGTTGCAATAGGGTCTTTGGTTCACGAGCTGTTCGCGACGCTCACTCCAGAGATCCACAAGCTCATCGAGATCTACCGATACTTTCGACCAGTGGTTCGTGACCACTTTTGTCTTATCGTGCCTTCGGCCGAGAAGACTACTCTTTGCTGTGATGCCAAAATTTTATCGCCCGAATGGCTTAAACCTTTTTTTTTTTGTTCCACAAAATAAAAGCCGCCTCGTCGTGTGCAATATCAAAAATAAAGACGTGTGTAGCTAATAGAATTTCTTTTTATCGGGGAAAATTTTTCTGCTTTCGCTGTAATCAGGAATGGATAAACTATGTATTGTCCAGCCGAAAATTTATTGCTTTCGACATATCGTTGTGTTCAATATTGATGTAATTCTCGGTATTAATCCCCAAACACAAGTTATTAACCTTATGAGATTATTAAGAAAAAGGGAAGAAAAAGTAGCAATTTAATGTCCATTCCTGAATTGTGCAAATATTTTACATTTTTGTATTAAAAATTTTTGATTGGGGTACAGTTTTTCTAAAACGTATTTTCTAATTTTTATTTTCTAAAAAATTTTTTTTCTAATAAAGGTGATTTTTAAAATTTGTTTCTAACAATATTCAACATTTGTAATGACGATCAATTTTGGTATAAAAATTATGCACATTAATTTTTTTTTCAAAGAAGAACAAAATTTTATTCTTATCACTATTTATAGTGATTTTATAAAAATCTTTCTAATGAAGGTGATTTTCTTATTTTCTTTGTTCTAATTAACGTAAATTTCTAAAAATGTCTTTTTCTAATAAAGGTAATTTTCAAAAAAAAAAATTTCCATAACAATATTCAATTTTTGTAATGACGATCAATTTTAGTATAAAAATTATGCAAATTATTTTTTTTCAAAGAAGAACAGAATTTTGTTAATAAATAGTAATTTTATAAAAATTTGTCTACTTTTTCGAAAAGAAACATAATTTTGTAAACAAAATTGTGATTGCGAAACAGAAAATATGCAAAATAGTTTCAATTTCTTAATCATAATTTCCAATTTTCTAACTTTTATCAAAATTATAAAATTTTAGAAATTTTATGAAAATAAATATTAGAAATCATAACTTTTTAGAAAAACTTTTTTTAAAAATCAAAACTTGCTGGAAAAACTTTTTTTAGAAATCAAAGCTTGGTAGAAAAACTTTTTTTAGAAAACAGATTTCATTAGAAATCGCTTTGTTTTTAGACAAAAAGGATACGAAAATATTTTTTTAGAAAAAGTGACCACCTATCAAAAATTTTATTTTTTTTTGCATACATAGAAAAAATTCTCTTCGTTTGAAAGAATCTCTCGATGCAATTTTTCTTTCCACAACAATATACATGATATCAAAAAGAAAAACTCAAAAATTATGGAAAGTTAATTTATATAAAAGCAAATTAACTGTAAGAATTCTCATTATTATTTATTTTCAAAAATCTCTAAGATTATTAAGAAAAGAAAAATTTTCAAACGAAGATTTTTTCTCCGGTGCAAATATATAAATATGTGTATGTAAATCTTGTTCTCCAAAAAACGCCCCCCCCCAAAAAAAAAAAAATTTCGCGACTAGATTTCGTGACTCCCTCGTTTGTTTATAGCGCGTCGTGATAAGAGAAGAAAAAAAAAGGCAGGAGATATATGAGAGAAAGAAGATTGCGATAATTGCGACGCGTCGTTACTTTCCCCGCATCGGGTCACGACTTGCGCGCGGTAAATTTATCGTCGTTGTGATAACGTACGTTATAGTAAAAAAAAAAAAATAAATAATAATAAATACGTTAATATTTAATCCTTCTAAAACAATTAGCACTGCTCTTGTATATATTACCTAATCGATGTATCCGCGTATTATAAAGTAATAAGACTAGGCTAGACATCCATTAAATGCAATGCGTTGATCATTGCATTATTTTGTAAAATAAAGAAATAAAAAACGACACAATGTACTCGTTAAGAAGTCGAATTTTTGTTTATATTTTAAAGAATGTTGAGAGGAAGAAAAAAAGGAAACAGTTCAACTTTTGACCTATGAAATATAATAAAAGTGACCTAGGTTAAAATTTTTAACAAACTTCTTTAAAAAAAAAAAATCTCTAAATAGTGATTTTAATAAAAGTTTTTGTTTTTTTTAAATTTTATTGATAAAATTTTTTTAAAATAATCTTTTTTTTTTGTTTAATCTTCTAAAGACTAAATATTGCTTCTCAAAATAAATCAGTTTACAAGGAAAGAAATTATGTATTATTATTATATATAATTATTATTTTATATATTATCGTTTCATGGTCCTAAGTCGTGCAGTTTCTAGAACAAAAGAAAAGAAAAAGATCTACCAGTGAATCAAAGTGACGGACGGACGTCTCACGCTATAGATAAATGAGAATAGATAGATTTTATTTATTGTTTCCTAGCAAGCCTATTGCAACACGATACTCTTGATTAAAACCAGCGGCCAGTAGCGGGCACTGCCGCGAAAACTTCCTCCTTTTAGAAATAAAATCGTAAACTTTGTGGTAGCACGTACTATACAAGAATTGAAAATCGGACACAAAATTTGTTTTGGTGCTATGTATTATTATTATTAATTATTATTATTTATTGTCTTGAATCACGAGCCAAGCTTGTTAACAATATATATACATATATGAAGAAAAGAGGAATTCTTTTAAAGAATTTTTTCGAAGAATTCTTAATTCACATAATAATTATAATGTATATATTTAATATTATATTTCCGTTTCACTATATAATATGGAATACGCCTTTAATTTGTATCAAATTTCGAGAATTTTTCATATTAAAACGTGTTTACTTGAGTTTTACGTTATCTCGCGCATAATATCGAACAAATCGACTTCAATACTATTACTTATAAATGTTAAGAACGAACGAAAAGTCTACAATTGTAATTATGTATAAAAATTGAAACGCTACGATGTATATTATATAGAACAATTATAAAGAACACTCATCATTATGAAAATAAATATCTATATATGAAAATTACTCTTTATTTTCTTTCTCTTCTAGTGTATTTATCGTTTAAATAAGTTTAAAATTTTTGGTATAATTTTTAATTTCATTTTTGTTATATATTTGTTATTTTATAGTTGTCTGCAATTTTCGTTTATTTTCAAAGTATATTTAATGATTAAAAGCATAGAAAATCGTAAGGTGTTAAAATAACATCAGAATGGATTAACATTAAAATAATCCACAACAGTTTAATCCCTCTAGGATTAAATCAACAACAAGCTGGGTTAAAATAATCTATTTTTATGTTATTTTTTATCGTGAATGAAAATATACTACAAATCATAACCAAGTCAATGATTTTACTATCTAAAATTCACCGAACTTATCTTTACCAGGGACAAGAAAATAAGCAAGTAAGTTAACAAGTAATCAAATAAGTAAGCAAGTAAGGAAGCAATTAAGGAATTAAGTAAGTGAGCAAATAAGCAAGTAAGCAAAAAGAAAATAAGCAAATATGGAAGCAAGTAAATAAGTAAGTAAGCAAGGAAGCAAAAAGGAAATAAGAAAGTAATGAAGAAGGAAGTAAGCAAGTAAACAAGAAGAAAATAAGTAAACAAATAAGTAAGCAATCAGAGAGTAAGTAAGTGAGCAAGTAAGTAAGCAAAAAGAAAATAAGGAAGAAAGTAAGCAAGAAGGAAATAATAAAGTAGGTAAGCAAGGAAGCAAAAAGAAAATAAGGAAGAAAGTAAATAAGTAAGTAAGCAAGGAAGCAAAAAGAAAGTAAGAAAGTGATGAAGAAGGAAGTAAGCCAGTAAGCGAGTAAACAAAAAGAAAATAAGTAAGTAAGCAAATAAGTAACCATATGTAAGTAAGAAATTAAGGAAGTCAGAAAGTAAATAAGTAAGTAAGCAAATAATCATACATATATAGTCAAAAATAACACCAAAGTGGATTATTTAAATCTTTTTTGGTGTTAATTTTAATCTGTAAGTTCGTTTTTTAATACCTCACAATTTATACTGTGAAATGTTAATATTTCTGTTTGTTAATTTTATTATGACTATGAAAAGTACAAGTTTTCAGAGGACTGAGCCAAGGTCGCGAACGAAATAAATCGAAAGAACACGCCTACAATCGACCCAGGACCTGCCCTCATTTTTATAAAGATCCACAGCGAGAGAGTCTTTCGGAAATGAGAAATAACCGCTCATTTATCAGTGATCTCCTTTGGGGCTTGAATTCGGATGACGCCTACCCAACTATAGCGAGTGCGGCTGTGGCTCGCTGTGTATCGCTAAAAACACTGCTAAATTCTTCTGCAAACAAACAAAAAGTATAAGCACTGACATTGGCCCGAGACCACGATAATTAGGAGTGAATCTCGGTCCACGAGTAATTTGAGCAGGATACTTAATTACATGTAAGTTAACTCTCTCTCTCTCTCTCCCTCAGTTTCTTTTGCAATTCGCTTTCCCTTATATTGCCAGGGCTTTAATCGCCCAAAGAGATTAGATTAGCACCTTCGATTCATCCGACACCTCGAGCGAGAGGCCTCCGCTCTCGCTGGCAAGTAATAACAGGTGTTACCCTCAAATCGATACCAGTCAGTTTCTTGTACTTTCATATTGATAACGACTTATTAGAAATATTGACCAAAAAAAAAAAAAAAAAAAAAACTCTAGAAAAAAGTACTTATATTCCAGTTGAAATGATTTTGAAACAGGAACTTGATTTTGTCTCATCCCGCATTAAATGAAAGTGAATTTTATTGTATCTATAAAACTCTCACTAAAAATAGTTCATAATCCCTAATCTTTTGCGTGTTTAATTCAACAAACGGAGAATATTTAAAATTTCTCCAAATCATATTATAAAACTGCTCTCTCTACATTCAAAAAAAAATTTTATTTAAAATAACCGATTACTTGCCTGTTTATCAAATAAACATTTACTTGAATAAAATAATTTTTTAAACCAAATAAATTGCATGTAGTTAAAAGAATAATTTTAGTATTTGAGGAAAAAACTATTTAAATAACATAATAATTCGGGAAGTTCCTTTCTATAACAAAGAAGAGAAAAAATTTTTGTTTATAAAGTAAATGTTATAACTTATAAATAAATAAACATTAAATAAAGCGTTTTTTATTTACAATAAATGTAATTGTGTCTAACCAACAATATAAAGTACTTTGAGGATCATGTCTAGACAGTTTTTGGAGTCGCTGTGATTACGAATATGAAGTCAGATTTAAAAAATTCAAAATGGCGGATCCAATATGGCGGACTTATTTTTTAGAAATCGAACCGATTCGATTTAATGTTGTTACTCGTGGGTTTTTCGGGTCGCTAAATGCAAATCTGGAATCGGATTTTCAAAATTCAAAATGGCGGACCCAATATGGCGGACGAATTTATTTAAATTAGTCGAAATCACTTCAAATTTGTTACAATTGGAGGTTTTTGGGGTTGCTGATTACAAATATGAATTCAGCTTTTGAAAACATTAAATGTCTGGTGCATTTTAGACGACAAATTCTTCACAATTAATATTGGTAACTGTAGATTTTTTTATGTAGCAATATATTTCGAATTTTGAAAATCTGACTTCATATTCGTTATTAACGACCCCAAAAACCCCTGAATAACAAGTTTTAAGCAATTTCGAT